AATGTCCCAGGTGTACATTTTGAAGCTAGCCTATCTCCCAAGAGCCACTGTCACCCTGGGGAGGTCCATGGAACAAGATACCAGGTAGGCTGACTTTCTCTGTGGTAGGTGTTTTGGAATGTGGGGTCAGTGATGGGTTGGGCCACGAACTTGCAGTTGAAGGAGATGCTTCCTCCTGAGCTGTGTGCCACTTGGACTGTGCTAATATTCCTATACTTTGTCCACTTTCCAGAGGTCTTATATTTATTTATATGTATAAACCAAGATTTTGGGTCAGCTTATGTAGTCATTTGGAATGAATAGTTCTTGAACTGAGCCAGTGTTTCACTGGTTGCTAGAGCAGTGATGTTAAATGAGGCTGTCACATCAATGGCTCCAGGGGGCTGGTGATCTAGTCAAAGTCGTGGGCAGGAAAAAAGGAACCAGGGAAATGGCTGTTTCGGTATAGCTGTGATCCATGCTATGAAGGAACAGGGTTGTCAGGCCACAGGGAAAGTTCTCTGAGGACCTTCAGCAATTTGATGAAGGCTTGACATTGAAGCTAGGAAAAAGAAGAGGGAAGGGAATGGTACAGTGTGTACAAAGGTAGGCAGAAAAGATGAAGTACATTTGACTCATTGGTCATTGAGAGGGAGAGCCACCCAGATACAGAGTGGAGAACTGGTTGGGGCCTGGCTTTCATCTGGCTTTGTGTGCTTGGTTTTGTAGACATGTTGAGGACCTTAGATTGCATCTCAGTTGTCGTGCGTTGACACTAAGGATTATAAACAAAATTGTAGGGAGACACTCTAGCCCCGCCCAATAGTCCTGGGACAGGTACCAGGTGGACCCGGGACTCAACCATAAGGGTGTGGTGAAGGAAAGCCGGAGTGACGTAAGGGAGCTTCTTAAGGGGCTGCACGTGGGGACCTTGGCCCCTTTTGTTCTGGCCGCGCTTGCTGGGTTCTATAACCTAGCTCTGGCCTATGTCTTGCCTTGGTGTCTTTTTGAATAAAGAGACATTAATCTTACACAAGATAGTGACTAAAGTGATTCAGTCTTCATTTTCATGTTGCTGTGATTACTGGGCAAAGCGTGGAAGGCAGGGAGGAGAGAGGGAAAAGAGGGACAAGGGTGGAGCTGCCACAGGTATGCATTTGGTCCAGAGTTGATGGTAGCCTTGAGATGGGGACAAAGGACTTGTTCAGCCCCAGAGGCAGTTTTTACTACCACATCTCATGCACAGAGACTTGTGTCCTTCCTGGATTTGGCGCCAGGGCTTCCTCAGTGACCTTCCTGCAGAGCTGAGCAGTTATCACTGAGGCTACAAGCTGAGGTCATCACCGAAGCAAACAGGATCTGACTCCAGGGTCCGTCTTGAGTAGTGAAGTGTTCCGCCAACCTCCTGGGAAGAAGGGCCACAAGGCTGGTGTGTGCCCCCAGCCCTTTAGATGCTTATCTCCGTCTTCTGGGCCACCTCTGCCTACTATTACTTGAAATTAAAAACTGACTTGGGCTGGCAATGTGACTGAGTGAGTAAGGGTGGTGTCAGGCCTGATGACCCGAGTTCAGTCTCTGGGACCCACATGGTAAAAGGTGAGACCTGACCCTTGCAAGTTGTCCTCTGACTGACACACAAACACAAATACACATAGGCACACACAAATAAATGTTTAAAAAAAAAGAAGCTGGGAGCCAGGTGTTGGTGGTACATGACTTTAATCCCAGCATTCAGGAGGCAGAGGCAGGTGAATCCCTATGAGTTTGAGGCCAGCCTGGTCTACAGAGTGAGTTCCAGGACAGCCAGAGCTGTTATACAGAGAAACCTTGTCTTGAGAAGAAGAAGGAGAAAAAGAAGGAGAAGGAGAACAGCTGGTGCTGAGAGATGGGTTAGTGGTTAAGAGCACTTGCTGCCCTTTCAGGCTTGGTTTGGTTCCCCAGCCCCATGTCAGAAACTTACAACCACCTAGACCTATGGGACTCAAATGCCCTCTTTTGGCTTCCATAGGCACCTGCACAAAGGCAGTGTACATACACATATCCAGGTGCACATACCAATATAAATAAAATTGTAAATATTTTAAAAGCTTGACTGGGAGCTGGACAGTGCCAATGGTGACCAAGGGGTGGTTCAATGAAGAGCACTTGGCCTAAGCATGATGCTCTAAGATCCATTCTAAGGGGTTGGAGAGATGGCTCAGAGGTTAAGAGCACTGGCTGCTCTTCCAGAGGTCCTGAGTTCAATTACCAGCAACCACATGGTGGCTCACAACCATCTATAATGAGATCTGGTGCCCTCTTCTGCTGTGCAGGCACACATTCAGGCAAAACACTGTATACATAATAAATAAATCTTTTTTTTAAAAAAAAGATTCATCCCAGCACTTGGGAGGTAGAGGCAGGTGGATTTCTGTGAGTTTGAGGCCAGCCTGGTCTACAGAGTGGGTGCCAGGACAGCCTCCAAAGCAATACAGAGAATAATGTGGTGGGAACTGGAGATATGGCTAAGTGGGTAAGAGCATTTTGCTACTCTTGCAGAGGACCTGAATTCAGTTCCCAGGACCTACATGGAGGCTCAGAACCATCCCATCCCTAACTCAAATTCCAGAGGATCCAACACTTTTTCTGACCCTGTGGACACCACATGCATGTGGTGCAGATACATACATGTAGGCAAGCAATCATACACAGAAAAATAAAATAATTTTTTAAAAGGTAGAACTGTGCATGGTGGTCCACACCTTTAAATCCCAGAACTTGGGAGGCAGAGGCACGTGGGTCTCTTTGAAGAATTCAAGGCCGACCTGGACTGCATAGTGACTTTCAAGCTAGTCAAGGCTACAGAGACTTTGCCTAAAAAAATAAATAAATTAATAAATAAATAAACATGGAAAATAATAGAGGAAGACACCAATGCAATGTCACTCTCCAGTCTCCATATGCATATATGTTCATGTGCACCTAACACACACACACACACACACACACACACACACACACACACCTTGACTCTAGTTTAGGGACGCATTTTAAGACAGGGTTTCCCTGGCTGTCCTAGAACTTGCTCTGTAGACAAGGTTGGCCTGGAAGTCACAGAGATCTGCCTGTCTCTTCTTCCTGAGTCCTGGGACTAAAAGTGTGTACCACTACCGCGCTGCTAACAAATCAGGTTTTTATCTGACCCTTATCAAGTCACCTCTTCTGGACCTTTCTGACTGCCTACCTGGACCCTATTCCATGATGCTCTGAGGTTAGGGAGGAGGCAGTGGACAGAGAATCTCTACTGTTTCCCCATAGAACTGCCATTGAGTGCTTGCTATCCATGGCTTGCTTTGTCTATACTGTTCACTGTCTCTCCAGATCATTCTTTTTTTTTTTTTTTTTTAAAGGCTCATTTATTCATTATGTGTAGTGTTCTGTCTGCCTGTAGGCCTACAGGCCAGAAGAGGGCACCATTACAGATAGTTGTGAGCCACCATGTGGTTGCTGGGAATTGAACTCAGGACCTCTGGAAGAGCAGTCAGTGCTCTTAACCTCTGAGCCATCTCTCCAACCCCAGATCATTTTTTTTTAAGATTTTATTTATTTATTATGTATACAACATTCTGCTTCCATGTATATCTGCACACCAGAAGAGGGCACCAGATCTCATAATGGATGGTTGGGAGCCACCATGTGGTTGCTGGGAATTGAACTCAGGACTTCTGGAAGAGCAGCTGGTGCTCTTAACCTCTGAGCCATCTCTCCAGATCATTCTTATAGCATGTCTCCAAGGAACCAAATGTGGCCAGTGCCCCACCTTGCCCCAAAGGGTTCTAAGATCTTGGCCCCATTTGCTTCTACATTTCAATCCAGACACATGGAGCACAAAAAGGTCTTTATTTAAAAGCATCACTGGCGCCAGGCGTTGGTGGCTCATGCCTTTAATCCTAGCACTCGGGAGGAAGAGGCAAGCGGATCTCTGTGAGTTTGAGGCCAGTCTGGTCCCAAGAGCCAGTGCCAGGATAGGCTCCAAAGCTGCACAGAGAAACCCTGTCTCGAAAAACAAAAACAAAAAAACAAACAAACAAAAAAAAGCATCACTGGCTTGTTTGGGGCAGTGCAGCCACCCCCAACCCCAGTTCCCTACCACATCTGCCACAGGGGGTGTCCTAGGCTTCCCTGCTCATGGTTTCAGCTGCTCTAGATTTTGTAGAATAGCTCTGGTCACAAAGTGTCCCCTATGACCTATTGAACATGATGATTAGCTGCTGATCATATGGCATTTCTTGGCATCTTCAGCTTCTGAAACCCCTGGGTTCCAGATACACCTGAGTCCACAGGCTGGGGGGCTGGTGGAAGCTGAGCCCTGGAAGTCACATGGTATTGAGCAGGCTGTGGCCAGGTTTGGAGAGAGAGAGGGAGAATAGGTTGGGTGAGGGTGAAGACAGATTGTGTGAAAGGGCCTTGCTTTACGCTAGAGCCACTCAGACCTTTATATGAGCGCTGCCCCTGCCCCTGCCCTTTTCAGTCAGACTCTCTCTATTTAGCCCAGGCTGATCTTGAACTCATAACCCTCCCATCTTAGTGCTGGCATTGCAAGTGTGAATCACCAGGTCTGGCTAATTTATTTATTCTTAATTGTATTAAATATTGTTCTACCAATTTACTTAATGTTCTCTATTGGGTTTTTGTATTCATGACAAATTTCACCTTGTGTATTTCTTCTCATGTCCCCTAGGGGGTGGCTGTGGTTCTCATGACGGCTTTATAGGTGACACAATTGAGGCCAAGTCACCTAGCCAAGGTCTTGGTCAGACCTCTGCCCCCTTTTCATAGACAGTAAGGTCCAGAGAAGGGAAGCCACTGAGTGAGCTCATCCAGCTGGGATGGGACCCAGGTCTGTTATAGGAGAGACTGTGACGCTGACTAGTCAGGAAATCAGAGCTGGGGACTGACCACTGGACATGGTCATGTGAACAGGGGGAGGGGGTGAGCTAAGGGTGAAAGTAAGAATTAGGTGCCATGTCAGCCCAGGGTTCATGCCGGGTAGGGCCTTTGGAAGTGCAGGGCTTGGGTTGAGAGTCTGCTCCCTCCTTCTTGCCATGCTGTCCCCTGGGTAGCTGAGGCGCCAGGCCGGGCTGTGGATCTGACACCTCCGCTACCTGGCTTTGATCAGAATCTGGCTATGGGGCAGGTGTGAAACTAAATCCTGATGGGCCTCTTTGGCCTGGGTGTGGCTGCAGACCCCTAGCCCTTCCTTGGCACAGCCTGTCCTCGCTCATGGTGGCTTTCTTGAATTCTAGAGCACTTCTGCCCACCCAGGGCACCGCCTGGGCTACGGCCGCTGTCCCAGTCGCTGGGCTCCAGGGTCCCCAGGGAGACTCCCACCAGGCCTGCTCTCAGGTGAGCCGCCAGGATCGGGTTCCTCTGGTTTCATGTCGTGCATTGTTCTTGGCCGGGCCCCGGCTTATGAAACAGTAATGAGGGGCCCTGTTCCCAAGGCTGGCCCCTCTAAGGTTTCTGTTGCCTGGAGCACTGCAGCCACCACGGCCCAGAGTCAGGGCCTGGGAGGGCGGCAGTGTGGGGGCCTGAGTCGGAGCCCCCCGGGAACGAGGGTGCTGACAGCCACCAGCTGCCACTGCCGGAGCCCGATGCCCAGGTAACCCGAGAGGAGGCGGGGCACAAGGTGCCATGGCCCTGTCTCCCACCACCAAGGGAGGGCCCTGCCATTCTGGGAGGTGGAGGGAATGGGGGGCCTTCTATGAGGTGAGCAGCTGTTCCTCTGGCTGAGCCCAATGTCAGCCTTTGCAGATGTGGCCTTGCTGTGGACAGTGCCAAGGGCACACCTATAGCTTGGGGGCTTTGACCCTCCTCTTTGGAGTCCCTGCCTCTCCTGTAGTGGAGCCCTTCATTTCTTCTAGATCTTACCGGCCCCTCCACCTTCAGACCTCTTCCATTCCAGGCCAGGCCAGTCTGCTCCTTCCCTCTTGTTTTCTGGATGCAAGGGTGCTCTGGGGCCTTGGATGCAGTTCCCATTCTCAGGCATGCACACATACATTTCTGTTTACAAAATCTTGGACACATATATGCATTGGTGTGGCTGACAGGCCTGCTGTACACATGCAATTGGGCATATATCTCTCAACAATGATGTATACATGAGTGCCCCAAACCACAGGTATTTATACATACACACACACACACACACACACACACACACACACACACACACACACACACACACACACATCCATGTACACATGTGTGCATATGTACTCCAGACACCCTGCTGACTCTGACCACAGTCTCCAGGGCACTGCCAGCTGATGGAATGTCTGGTGTCCTTGAGCAGGGAGGTCCCAGGAGATGACTTCTGGAGACACCCACCAGTCTGAGCTGGGAGGGGCTGCCTGGAGGAGGGGGAAGGGGAGTCCCACGTGGGCCTGAGCTGTCTTCTCTCTCCAATGCGGGCCCAGGAGCCTCACAGCCCTTCCAGTGCTGAGCCACCTTACTGCGACCTGCCCTGCTGCCCACTGGCCCCTGAGGACCCACTTGGCACCACCACCTGTGCTGGCCACTCTGTGGAAGGCCTTGGCCTCAGGCAAGGGCCTCAGAGGTGGGTAGAATCCCAGGTTCCAGGGACAGGCCCCCTGGGGGGATACCCATACCTTCCCTACATGCAACTCTTCATGATGGCAGTATCTATCATGGTGGTATGGGTCACGTGGCCAGCCCACAAGTCTGGGCAGAGGACTCTGCTGGTAAATGTATTCCAGGGGTCCTTGCGGGGGCACCCTGGAAATCTCACATTGGTCCGCCCTTGTTTTACTTGAGTCTCTGACCCTAACCCTGGCTGTCTTTTCTGGTGGGCCTGACTATGGCATAGTTCCATGGGGTAGGGGATAACTATGTATTTCTCCTGGTTCCTGTATATGGTTTTAAAAGATTGAAGGAGCTGGGTGTGGTGGCAGATGGAGGCAAGAGGATTTGGAGCACAAAGCTTGGGTTACATAATTAGACTCTGTTCCCTGAACCCCCCCAAAAGGTTGAATGGTCCTCTCAGCTGTGGCACCTACTGTCACTCCTATTGACTGGGTCTCCAGGCTTTGAGATTCCCTCCAGTCCAAGCCTTAATGGACCCCAAGTTCCCTACTGGGGACATGAGACCTTAGGAGGCCATGGCTTGAGGGTCCAGAGAGCTGGATCCCAGTTTCACATCTGCTGCGATGGGCTGTGGGACCTTCAGCATGCTATTCCATCTGTTTATGTGTCAGTTTTCCTGGTTGTTGAACAAGAAGCGCTGAGAATGTTGCTTGGGGACAGGCAGTGTGCCTAAGGTCCTGGGCTTGATTTCCATTATTGCAGAATAAATTTTAAAAAGAAAAGCTGGACCAAATCCTCTTGTTTGAGGGCATGTGTTCCCCTCAGGTGGGCATTATTTTAGGAGAAAAACAAAAAGGAATCTCTGATGGTCAATGTATTTCAGGAAGTCCAGGACGAATTTCGAGGACTTGTAGGAGCATTTGATTTGCAAACTGCATTGTGTGGTTTAAGCGTGAAGGTCTGGATGTGTGCAGAATGTTCCATATTTTCTTAACTATAGATCTCATTTATAGCATCGTCACTCCTTACTATTTTATAGGCCTGTGTGTGAGTCACTTTGGGATGCCACGAGCTGTAAGCCTCTTGAGTGGGGGACATAGGGACCGATTCTGTAAAATGCACTTATGTCCACAGCTCCTGCCCTTGGAACTCACTTCCCCTCTCACTGCTTGACACCCTTCACCTGCCAACCCGGCTCAGTGTCCCCATTCCTGCTCACTGAAGGGGGCTGGGGCTCTGCCCTTTTCCAGGGCTGTAGCCTTGGCCAGGCCCTTGATTCCCCAGAACCTGGGTTTCTTCATCTATATGGTAGAGCCCTCTCCCTTGGTAGGCTGCTATAGCTCTAGGAGCTGGCCCATAGAGCCCAGCCCAAATGCCCTCAGCCCTGGCTTCTTGTTCTGTTGCTGCAGACCCCAGCATGGTGTGAGCACACCCACATGCACCTGGGGGGCAGGCAGGACTGAGTTCTTGACTCTCTTACCTTTTAGGGAAAAATAATTGGTCTCTCTCCTCTCCCAGGGGCTGGTCTCCAACAGCAGCTCTCCCTGCAGAGGGCCCTGCAACTGCCCCAAGGAACAGGTACCAGGACCCTGAGGTGGTACCCTATCTGGAGGAACCCAATTCTGACACCAGCTCCAGCCAGGACAGCAATACCCCTCATGATACCAGCAATTCTTCCTCTGTGGTGAGCTGAGGGTCAGGATCTGGGAACAAGAACAGGATCATCCAGTGTCCTCAGCCCTGGAGACAAGAGATCTAAACCTCCAGAAGAGGGCTGAGCCTCTCACAGGCCATGGCCTTCCCTGATGGGAGGGAGGGTGGGGTGTCTCTGGACTGGCTCAGGGTCAGTGGTAGTGAGGGCAGGTGGAGGGAGGCGTTTCAGTCTGATAGGGACTTTGGATGAGTCACCAGCTGGCTCAGGTCTCAGGGCTGGGAAGTAGGCATGGTATCCAGAGTAAGCATGAGACTGGGTCCAGATCTGCTCTAACCACATGCTGCTGAGACCATGACCAGTCCTGGTGTTGATTTCCAAAGGCAGAGGAAGGGAACAGGCTTAGGAGCTGGCAGGAGAGAGGCGCCAAGAGGCTGTCCCAAATCTTCACACTTTCAGACCCGTCCCTTTAGACTCTACCCGTCCCCCACAAAAGGAAATGAAAGGAAAGAATGGGCTTCACATAAACAGCCTACCCTGTTCATGCATGTGGTGGGTACCATGTAAAGGTCTCAGTGGGGCTAAGCCTAAACAATTCCCTCCACTACCCTCTATGCTAGAGACTTCATGCCCTGTTAGGGACTGAGGCTCAGAGCAGGGAAGTAACTCGTTTGAGACCACACTGCTGGGAAGCAGTGGCCTAGGATTTGAACCCATTTCTTCCATCTGTGACTTTGGCCCAGATTTTTTATTTCAATGGCTGTGCCTCTTTTTCAATGCTGACAGAAGGTTTGCTGAGTTATCACTGGCTGAGAGCCTCACTCAGGCGGCAGGTGCCCTTAAAAACCTGTTTTTCTACCCTTCATGCTGGAATACAAGTCTGAGGCCCTCTTCTCCCCAACAAGCTTTCTCCTCTCCCAGCAGGACACTGTTGAGAGGCCAGGAGTGGTCCCCAACGGGGACAGACTCAATGTGATGATCCTGAGACGGCCTCAAGAAGGGCTGAGAGCTGACAGTGCTCAAAGGATCACCAGGTCCCCAGCCAGGGGAGACCCAGAAGGCCAGAGAAAGGAGGGTGAGTAACTTCTAGGATGGTCTCCTGACCATGGAGTGGTGATGGCCTGGGGACAGCAAACAGCCATCTCACTGGCTCAGCTTCCTTTGAGGGGCAGAGTCTCTCTCTTTTT